ACCTTTTTCACTTGAATACCCCTCGGCAGCCAATTTCCATAAACTGTACAACTCATATTAGCAAAATGTTTGTAATGAATATAGTTGCTGTTATTGTAAATGCATATGTTTTTCTTTTTTCTCCCCTTTTTCTCCCCATTCCCCTGCTTCTCCTCTGCCAAGGTCTCCAGCTTCTCTTTTGCCCAGGTTCCCCTGCTCTTCCTGCCCCGGGGTTCCCTCATTCTCTACTGCCCCATATATATATTGCAGACGCACACACTGATTTCCATGCAGATACAAAGACTCACATACTGACATATATGCAGATACACAGACACACAGATACAAACAATGACACATACACGTACAGTTACACACACTGGCATGCATATACATAGACATACAGGTACAAAATCCAGACTCACAGATACAAACACGCATGCAGATATGGAAACACGGATAGAAACACTGAAAATAATGCAGATGCACAGATACACACACTGACATATACATATAAACACATTGAAACACCTACAGAGATGTAAACACTGCCACACATGCAGATACACAAATGCAAACATTGGCACACATACAGTTGCACAGACACATAGATAAACACCCTGAAACTCTGGCAGATACACAGATATACAGATACAAACACTGACACACATACAGATACAGACACAAATATACACACACTGACACACATACAGATACACAAATACAAACTGACACACATGCAGATACACACACTGACACATACAGATCTACAGACACACAGATACAAACACTGACTTACACATAGATACCCAGAAACACAGATACAGACATACAGATATAGACTCTGAGACTCTGACACACATGCATGTACATAGGCACACATATACAAACACTGACACACATGCAAATGCACAGACACACAGATACAAACACAGACATACATACAGATAAACAATCACACAGATACAACCTCTGACACACATGGAGATGCACAGACACACAGACACAAATAATGGCACACATGCAGATACACAGATATAAACACTGACAAACACACTGATACAAACACTACCTACATACAGGTCACAGTTGTAGCCACCCTCCAGTTTCCTACCATTTAGGTGCAGAAGGGAAAGGGTGCAGAACGGCTGTGGCTGGTGGGAGTTAGGGGCTTATTCCTCTCCCAATCTCACGGCTTCCGGCTCACCCCTCCTGTGCGGCTGTGTCTGTGCATGGTAGTGGGTCTGAGTGTGAGTGAACTGGGAGGAAATGCACTGCTCTCACTTCCTCCCAGCTCTCCCTGCGGATTAGAAGGGGCCTGATCATGCTATTAATGAGGTTCAGTGCAGGACTGGGCCTCTGAAGACCTATGTCCATCAGGTGGCTCTGAGTGCATGGGCAACTCGATGGACCTGCTCACCTTGCGGTTCACAACCCGTACTGCCATTACTGAAATTTTGTTGCGTACCCTCGGGGGAACTGAACATGTGTACCACGGGTTGGTACCCCAGCTCTACAGTATTTTAACAGAGCAATAGATAATAAATTCTACATTAAACAGCTTGTGAAATAAAGGAAGTATAAATATTAGATTTCTCTACAGTAAGTGATCAGGTAGGCTATGTAAGTCACATGCAGGGAGATGATCTATACATCAAAACTGCTTCATTAAGCTAAAACAGATTGGATTTTTACATTCCCTGCATTGTATAGTGTATTTAATTTTGAATGTATTATCTTCTGCTCTATTAATAGCCTGCTGGAGCTTCAGGTATGCAATTAAAGTTCAATTAACAAGGCAGTAAATACGAACTTCTAAAGTAAACACATAATGCTGTAAGATCTGATTGAAAATGAAACAATTTTTTTCATGTTGGCTATGTGCGTCACAGGTAGGGGAGGTATAGCTAGGACGGCATAAACAGACATAAAAGTGAAGCAGAAAGCTGTTGTCAGTATCAAAAAGTTTGCCATGAATTGTAATAATTTATTACAAATATTAAACTCCCTCTTTCTTTTATTATACCAAACATTCTTAGTATTATAGAAAACGCCACAGCACATTAACAGTTTAATGATCAGCTTCGTAAGAATAAAACAAAGCTCAGCAAGTGAAGAAAGATCATGCTCTTCTGAATGCTTCTGGCAGTTAATTAGAATAGAAGGTTATGTTATTAGCAACAAAATCAATGGGGAAAGGGATTAAGAGTCTTGGAAGGGAACTTTAGCTGCTTCAGAACAAAGCACCAGAGGCAAGGTTTAGCTAAAATCCAATAAACATTAGTGGACAATCAATGCTGAGTTGTGTTAGTGTGTCTTCGAACATATTGCTTTAATTGGACTTTGCAGCACTGTTGTGGAAAATAAACAAGTAAATGATTAAAGAAAACTCATTCCTAAACAGTCTTGGCAGTGTTCCATACGCTGAACATCATGAGCAGTTGAGTGTATGGCTGTCTATAATTATACCATTACATGGTCGCTATTTGTGTGTCTTGAGTTTGTTTGTCCCTTCAAACATAATCTAGTTTTACATCAAAGATAAATATGTAAACAAAACCAAAAACGTTGCCTGCGCAATATCCCAAATCCCTATGCACATTTAAATAACTGGAGGTTTATAGTATCATTCCAGTTGCCATTAATTGTAAGCTCACCTGCCCCATCAAATCAAACCTCTTCGAAGAATCCTACACTAACGATTCACCTTGCTGCTTTCAATCACAAGGCAAAATATCTAAAGGCAGAAAGGGGTTTTGTCATAAACCCCTACAGACTTATGAACCATTAATCAACATAACTCTAATTAGACAGACAGTCTGGGAAGTACAATGACAAGGGATTTTCAGACTGATTCGCAAACAAGTGATTGTCAGACAAGATAGGCAGGGTCATTCACTAAACACCAGAATTTAAAAAATTCAATCCAGCTAGCAACATTTAGAAAGTTGAGAAGTTGTAGAATTTCCCATGTCGGCTAAATTAGCTTCAATTTTGCCATTTGGATTTAACAGTGACAGTTTTACATCTTTAACCCCTTAAGGACCAAACTTCTGGAATAAAAGGGAATCATGACATGTCACACATGTCATGTGTCCTTAAGGGGTTAAAGGGACACTGTAGTCACTATAACCAATTTGTCTCTTTGAATTGGTTATAGTGCCTGGAGTGCCCTGGCACTGTCCCTCCATTCAGTGTTGCACCATGTTTGTGCAGTATGCCACAAAATAAGAGTCCCTGGCCACCCACAGTCTGGCCCCTTCTGTATGTGTAACTAAGGCAGAGAATACACACTTCTGATGGACTGCCGTGGTCTCTTGTTTAACATTAAAACATTACAACATTAAAAACTGTTTAATGCTGAAAGAAATGATGGCACAAGGGGACTCCATACACTATAACCAGTTTAATGAGATGAAGCAGATACCGTGCCTACGGTGTCCCTTTAAGGCTGTAACCTATGAAAGAAATAAGGTGGGGGGTTGTTGTGGGAATAGTATGACAGGTTGAATTTGTATGACAGGATATGTTGCTCATTTGCTGATAGGGATAGGCAACCTTCGGCACTCCAGATGTTTTTGGACTACATCTCCCATGATGCTTTGACAGTGTCGAAGGTTGCTTCACCTTGTTAAATTTGACAATCATTCCTCTCACATCTGCACTATTCTTTCAAGGGAAGGGATAAAAAAAAACAAAATACTGAGACTGATGGGCAGAAGGAACAGTATGGTATGATTGTGACTTGGCTAGCTACCATTTTTACTCCGTATTTAACACAACCTTGCCAATTTTTCCTATTATAAACTGACTTGGTGTTAGCTGAGAACCGCCAGTGCTGTTTTATTTCTAGTATGGCATAGAACTTCCATGAATTCTTATAACACAATTAAATATACAGGCATCTATAGACACCCAGACCACTTCATCTCAATGAAGTTGTTAGGGTGCAGTGTCCTTGTCATTTTAACTCTGCAATGTAAAAAAGGCTTGCTCTAGTGGCTGTCAGTGGCTGTTTGAGTGTACAAATGGTGTTCGCTGCACATGTACATTATGTATATATATATATTTATATATTTATTCATCAAATTAGTGATACTTTTAACTATTAGATTCCTCCCTCACCCCTCCACACAAACACAAACACATTTGGCAATCTAAAAATGAAAATATACTCATCTTTATTCCATTGCCAACAGTGATGATATTGGCCCAATCCATAACTTCTCATAATGAATCATTGCGTCCCTCTGGAACATAAGTAACAATCTCTACTCTGCATCAATTAGCTATGACAATAAGGCCCTGGAGTCTCTGCCACGGAAGGTGTAGCAGTTCAGACATGTTATCGTCCGTGGGTTTCTTTTGCTAACCCGCACAGCTAACTGTTATACTAAGCACTAAGCTCGGTACTTGAAGTTGTGTATCTACCGGCAATTCAGGATATACTGCATTAATAGCTCAGTGCAGGAATTTCTATCTATCTAGTCCACTGGTAAATCACGAACACACTTTATTTTGGTTCATAGACAGTGTCCAATCAGTGACATGGGACACCAAGGGGAAAATGAAATCAATTAATAGAGAGCCTACTTTAAACAGGTAATACAGTTACATGTACACCAGACAACAGGTAATGTTATTAAAAATATCAAACTTTAATTAACAGAAGGTATCATGTATAGGTGATTCCTTATAGAGGGGGAAACAAATGAATTTATTTAAAAGACCCCACTCTGTCTCTCTATTTATGTACAGAGGATATGCCTGCACTGCAGGGGGTGAACCATCAACCTACATATAAACTACATCTCTGACTCATTTACTGTGACACAATGTAACCCAATGTAATCCTGCAGAGTATCTTTAGAATTATGCTTTGTTCATATAGCAATAGGGGAACATGGTCAGGGTCCCTGGCATCTTTGGCCAAATAAGAGAAAACCTAGGCCTGACATGTTGACAGATCAGTAATGTGTGCTGTAAGTGGTAATAGATAAATAAAGACAATGACACAAAGGTTGGGAAAAGGCCGTGGTCGTTCATTTACTAAATTTAAATATCCAAACAACTTGTTCTTTCAAACATTGACTTATACCAAAACCTTTTCTATTCCACACGTTGTTATTATTATTAAGTAACAAACTCTTGGCATAACCATTACCCAGAGTATTAAACCATTACATATGCCAGTACTGCCCTGATAACCTGAACTGTCCACTTTTCTAAATATTCACCCTCAAAGCTGCATTATGAGGGTGACTTACCCCAACAGCCATCCCGTTGCCAAAAGCAACTGGGATGTCCCCTTCCAAAACCGCGTCAGCCTTCTCAACCATGTCTTGTAATCCAGAGTTAAAAACGTCTAATCCCACACTTGATCAGTGAACTAAATCCTTTCTAAACAAGCCTTCTAATTCTTTGTCTAAAAGAAAAACGACCCAATGACTGCAAAAATTTTGAACCAGCCCTATTGAACTGACCTGACCCTTTAACCCTTCCCCAAACTCCGGCCCTCCAGATGTTACTGAACTACAACTTCCATGATACTCAGCCTATCTATTTCATTCATAGAATCATGGGAGTTGTAGTTCAACAACATCTGGAGGGCTGGAGTTTGGGGAAGCCTGCTAACCCATAGTAATCTAGGTATAACCTCCAACCAAATTAACAAAACTTCAGGGAACCAGGTTTTAATTGAAACAAACAATCTTTTTAAACAAAAATAAAAGAAATACAGAACAAATAGTTGTTCACATCTCAAACCTTGAACTCCCCACCAACATATCGAAACTTTTGAACAATCAAACTTCAGGTTCTCTCCATATGATCTCTCCGCTGTTTTTTCTGAGCCCAGCTTATAAAAGAATGTCCGGTAATCCAGATCATTTGGCTTGCCATCTGGAAATGAGAAGAAACATTAAAATCTCCATTCCAAAATTATAAAACCTGTGGTCTAATATAACTATTGAATCTACCCGACTCCCATCTTTCAATTTTTTAAATTATGTTCTCATCTAAACCTTGTTTAGCAGCTTCTGTAGCCGCACCTGTTCTAAAAGAATATGAAGAGAATTTAAGATGTCCCAACCTTAGTTCCTTCATGCATACGCTTAAAACTTTACCAAACTGAAATTTTGTTAAAGGCATGCCAGATCTGTGTAAAAGAAAAGGAGCATTTACATTGGGTCTGATTTGTAAAAATCTTTTGATTGACATTACTGGGCAGCATTCAGAACCCACTACCTTCTCAATTTACAAAAATGTACCAATTGTGCTGTTACAGTCCTGTTCATCACAGGAAGCATTATTCCAATGAGAAGAGTGAGCAGCATTCGGCGCTGTCATGCTGGGCATGCTGACATCAAATATAATGAATTTCAGTTATTGGAAGTGTTCACTAGGAAGTGCCTGTAGTGGCTGTTTGTTTGATTGACTGACTATCTGACTGCTAACCACTAGAGGCATACTGACTGGCAAATGTACACATTGTCAAATATTTTCAACCCACCTCACACAAGCTCTTAGATGACACCCCAATTGCTATACACGCCCTGGCTGGGAGATCTCCATTACTGACTATGCACTCCCTTATTCATACAAGGGAGCTCATGGTCTGCACCTTAGGTGGGTGCAGATCACTTTAAATGCAACCTCTCAGTTCTGGGCATGAAGGAACATTTACAATGGTCTGCATTAGCTGGAGGTGCAGGCCACTAGTTCCTTTCATCGGACTGCCAGAGAGTGGGAAAATTGCCTGACTGGACCACCAGGGAACTGGCTACCTGTCAGTGTTTCCCTGCTGTTTTAAACAGCAACCCTTTCTTACTCTGCGTCTGAGCTATTCAGCTGCTTTCAGTGAAGCCTATTTAGCAGCAAGTCCCAGTACCTCCTTGCCCTTGCGTGGTTTCTTGTTTCCCAGAACATTTCCTGTGTTTTCCTAGTTCCTGACTCTGCTGCTCTCCATTCACCTGCTTTGGTACCTGAGCCCTGCTCGCTTCCTGGACTTTGCTTTTGGACTATATTTTCACTTTGCTATTTTTTTTTTTTTTATAAAGTTGTTTTGCATCTATGTCCTGTATAGCCGGCCACCCACTCTACATCTAAAGGCACACAAAACACACACCGTAACCCCACACACATATGCAGCCAACCATACACAACACACGCTGCAAGCCATATACAGTCACAACGCACACAGTTACACACACACACTTTTAAACATTTTCCCAATTGTGGCGGACCGCCTGGCACCCCAACCTAGTACCACCGAGTACTATAAGCAACACACCGGACACCATAACCACTTTAGCCCCCTTAGCCTCTGCAGCTTCTGTCCCTTCCCACCCTGGACCAAATGCCTGGATCCAGCTCCCAGTGGGAAGAGCTCTCCTCAAAGGGAGTATCACTGTACAGTAATCCAAAGAGCAGTATAGAAATCCCCCACACACATGAGCAAAGGCTTAATACTGGGAAGTCATAAACACACAGCCTTTTATGCAAACCCCATGCCAGGGGTTTCCTATACAAAACAACAGGGTAATCCTTCCCCTCTGCCTGAGAGATAATTAAGTCAGGAACTGTAAAAACTCATTTATCTCCAGGCACAGAAAACACACATTTTATAGACACCCCAAAAGTACCCCCAAAACACATGAACACCTCACAAAAGTTACTTCTCCTAATAGCCCCAATCTGGGTGACCAACATATCCAAATATCACCCAGATCGGTTCAGGGGTTCGGGTTTTTCACGGAAGTCATAAGTTGGACCGAATAAATACTACCAGGAGAAAAGTGTTAGCGGTCGGTCAACTTTGGTAGTTTAAAAACTAACAAACTACCGAACTTAGTCAATAGCCATACCCTGGAGCTTGTTCCCCTCATGTAGACGAACGATTCCACGAACAGTGCCCTTCCAGATGGTGTAGAAACAAACGCAGGCGATGATGGAAGTACAGCGGTTTTCGGGAGTTTCAGTGTCCGATTTCAGTTCCATGAGCTTGACGCCCAAACACTGCTGCCTGTGTTCACGGGAACAAGATGGCTACCGCCTCGTGGTCGTTCTTACGAAATACGAACTGTGGCCACCCAGACGAACAATTAGAACACTGCGGTTAGAATCATTAAGAGGTGCTGATAGGGCTTAACAAGCTCCCGGGTGGTCCACAGTCTGTGCGTCTGTTCGGTTCCCGAACAGCATGGAGAAATGACACGAACATAGTCTTTTATGAGCCTTTTTGCATGGCCCATAGTCTTGAAGCAGGAGGCTAGCAAGCAGGCCCCTCCAGAAGCTCGTGGTGAGGTCACTTTCTCCACACCTTATTTATTACCTTACCCAGGGCCAGCCAGACACCGGCTGCCACCTTTCCTGCTGTCAAAAGGTCCTCCACAACGTTAGGCCCAGAAGTCTGGGGCTGCGCTCATTGGCATAGAACGCTAAGATGACACTCAATAAATGAGCCAGCCTGACGAAGTATGAACTTCAGTGGAGCAAACGAAAGATCCAGGACCAGAATAGGTACAGGCTGGATCCAGGTAAACTGTCAGACCGTTCTTAAATGCTTTGACTAATTACTCTGGAAGGAGCACCAGGGCGCTCCTGGCACTAAACTCACTACTGTGGGCTAAATATTCACCTTATTTAACATTAAAAAATAACAAAATGTGCTGTGCACACCTACAATTAAGATGAAGTGGTGTTCCTTTTAATCATATAACGCATTAAATTAAGGAAGGTCAACTTCAGTCTGGAGTGTTGCGGATGCCTAGGAATTTCCAATTATTTAATTTCAGATGATAGGAATAGAAAGAAATCTCAAGAGCAAAACAAGTACTTATTGCTGATTTATAGATGTATTTTTTTATTATTATTTGAAATTGAACTCATGGAAACGTCTCACTTCTGAGAAGCCACTTGTGTGGTTCGGGCGACCCTTCTCTGATAGCACGTCATGTATATTTATAAGGATGCAATCCATTCTCCGGCTGAGCTAATCAGGGAGAGCACAAGGGCAGCACTAACATCTCAGCACCCTTTTAATCAGGGCAGTACTTACAGCACTTCTGTGAAGGAAACAGTCAAGTTGATTAAATGGCTAATCTTCCACTGTGACCTTTACTGTCAGTATTCCTGTTTGACAGGCCTGTGCAATATAAGCCGAGGTGCTTTTAACTCCTTTATTGCTGCTGTTGGAAAAAAAAGTCAAGGTTACTACTTCGTTTTTTGTGGACTTCCCACAAGACTATTTAACAGACATAGCATCATGTGCAGTTAGAGGCAAAGCAAGATTAACCACTAGTGCAATGCTATAGGTAACACATTGCAGTATAGAAAATCCCAGTATATTTTGGCAGTGGTGGGAGGCCTTATTTATTATTATTATTATTATGTTTAAAGCGCCAACAAATTCCGTAGCGCTGTTTAAATGGTGGACTAACAGACACGTATTTGCAACAAGACAAGCTGGACGCACAGGAACATAGGGTGTTGAGGGAACTGCTCAGACAAGTTTGCCATTGTAGTTAGGGCATTATAGAAAAGGCCACTCTAAGCACCAAAACCACTTTACCTTAATGGCGTGCTTTTTTTTACATAGATCACGAAATTGTTCAATTCTGTTCCGTTTAGGAGTTCACCGCTTTATATCTGCAATCCTAACCACACGTCCTTTGGCTGTGACTCACACAGCCTCCCTACACATTTCCTGAAAAGATAAGTTAATTTGAGGCCTCGGCCATATTTAAACCTCAGGTTCCTGTAGCTGCGTAATTCTGAGGATCCACCAATTGAGATCTCTGCCATCTACTCAATTATTTAGAGGACAAGCAGAAGAGTCAAAGACTACATCTCTTATTTCCTTGCTCAGCAAATAAAATACATATTTTTTAAAGTTCAATTACCATGTGATAACATGAAAACATATCAAAATATAACTTATATAATAAAAAAAGCATGCATATCTATAGTCAAGATAGGCACTTCTGTATATATTTTGCAAAACAAAACACACAGAATTATAACTTAGAGGGACTTTGTCACTTTGCAGACTTTGCTTTTAAATGAATCCTTTATTGTCTTTCTACGTCTCCTTGTTTATATGTATAAATTCAACTTTTTTATATATATAAATAAGAAAACGTAAGGACTGCATTTTGTGATGTTTGGCAAATGTTGGCAATGGGCAGAGCTTAACCCCTTAAGGACCAAACTTCTGGAATAAAAGGGAATCATGACATGTCACACATGTCATGTGTCCTTAAGGGGTTAAGCAAAGTTCCATTCCAGCTGTTAAGCTAATTTACCCACAACCCATCAGTCAGAAAAATCCCACAGAAGGAGAACAAAATGAAGGCACCCAGGTATTAAGATATGAGACAAAGAAGACATGATAATAAAAGTAAAGGCAAGTGGCAAGGAGGGAAGTATAATCTTTAAAATACAAAGACAATAAGGAAAGAAATACTGAAAGGAAAAAAAACCACGGCGGAGTCCCTTTAAGAACCATCTTTATTTGTTGTGTGCATGACATCAACCCATAAATTGCCTAATAATAACCATCTCTAACTTTTCAATCAACGATATTCCTACTTTTACTTCCAAATTTTCATTTAGATGCCCAATAAAAAAAAAGCGAAACTGCTAAATCAATCCCATATATGAATATAGGCAATCCCACAGGATCTCTAAATTGTTCATGGTAATGTTTGTAATCTATAGTAGCCTTTCAATGTCAAGTGAGGGGCAGTTGGAAGGCTTTCCTCCCCTCTCAGATTTATTGCTCATGAAAAGTCAGGATAGTTTTTGTTTATTGAGTGAATATACTTAATATCCTGAAACCCTAATTAACATGTCCATATACATATAATAAATATCCTTAACTCCTCAATAGCCAGAGCGAATT